TTTCATTCATTCATTCATCTTCTATAACGCTCAGTCCCAAACAGGGTCACTGGAGCCAATCCAAGCCAGCAATCAGGCGAGGGCAGGGTCCACCCTGGACAGGTCACCGGTCCATTGCAGGGTCAACACACAGACGAACAACCACACATGCACATTCACTCCTATGGGCAATTTAGAGTCACCAATCAACCTAAGGCGCATGTCTTTGGACTGTGGGAGGAAGCCAGAGTACCCAGAAAGAACCCATGCAAGCACAGGGAGAACATGCAAACTCCACACAGAAAGGTCGTGAACCCACGAACTTCTCACTGTGAGGCAACAGCGCTAACCACCGTGCCACCCGTACAGAGGAACATGAGTGACCAAATGTTAAGTTCCCGTTAGTTACACCAAAAACCAACAGTACTGCTCAGAATCAACCAGCCAAGAGATCACTTGATCAAACACTTTCTATAGCAACAATGCTGGAAATGAGCATGTGATATGGACTTATCATCAGGATTATCCAGAGAAACTGTTTTTTGACTGACAGTACGAGGGACATTATGGCTTCCAGGAAGCAAAGCTTATAAAGTGGAACTTTGTTTGGATCAGACAGTGTCCTGCATGTTTGGTTTGCACTTGGTCAGAACTACCACAGTGACATTGTACACTGCTCAAAAAAAATAAAGGGAACACAAGGGAAAATAAGACATTCAACTATGTAATGAACAAGGTATTTAATAAGAATATTTCATTCTTTCAGATCTAGGATGTCTTGTGTTCCCTTTATTTTTTGAGCAGTATATATGCCACTAAAACAGTGGTTTACCATCAACCAGCATCATTTCACAGTGACTGCACAGTGCGCAGGCTGCATGAGTGTAAAAGGGGAAATGACAACTAGATGGTGAATGAATGCAAGTTCTGACTGAAGAAATGACTCTTAAGTAGCTTAGCAGGAGAGGAACCCCCATCACACAAGAGTTTTAAAAAAGAATAAAAGTTAAAACTGTAACCTGATCACATATGCCCACAGACTTGAATCCAATTCAACAAAACTGCTCCTGCAAACTGCAGCTGAAAAGAACTCTTTGAGGACAATGGCATAACATCTGTCAATAGATCTGGGCTAGACTGGCATGATCAGCTGACAAATTTAGAACCTCTCTCTTCCTGCAGAACTGGTTAAACAGTTGTGGTACAATCAACATTTACATAACACAGATGCTGCCTTATTTCCTTCAAACAAGTTATTTAGTTTTACAGCTGCTAAGTGCTTTTGAAAAGTCATAAATGCATGGACACAGGTTTGTGATGATTCACTAAGAATCTCAAATCTTAGGACAGGGATTTGATTTATTTAGTTTATTTTCATGTTATGTTCCTGACAGTTCTTTTTTTAAAGATAGCTTTTAGAACATTTTATTTGAAATTAGAATGCTCTTGAATTGACAGGTTTGTTTCCTAAGTCTATTCTTGTGAACCTTTTTTAGAGTACACTCAAAATAATATTGTACTGGACACACAGTTACCTTGTTTTGCATGTGGTTTTCAACAAAAGGACTGCAGGTTAGAAACATGTCTAGACTCTCAGTAGAGGAACCTGTTTATCACTGGGTGTTGTCCAAAATGTGTCTTATTAAGCAGGGCACACATTGCTTCCGTTTATTACGTTGTTAAGCACATGATGTGGTCATGTGACTGTGCTGTAAGGTTCTTACAGGGAAAAGACTGTTTTGCTTCATACCGATTCTCAAACCGTGACACTTTGCAGCTCAGACATGAAGTGCTCTGCTGTTATACTAATCCTGATACTCAACACCGTCTACACCTTCTCACAAAGTAAGACCAGATTTAAATTTATTACCCTGTTGTTGTAAAAATTATGAAAACACTTATGAAAACACTGAAATCTGGAATAGTATTTTATGGGAGAGTTCCTGTTGAGAAAACAAATGCCTGAGAGAGGAGGCCACTTGCTCAGTATACATGATAATATATTTACAGTTTTCTTCATCTCTACTTTGCTTTTCAGTTGCCCATGAAATTCTCACTATTGTGAGCTGCTTTGACAATGGCACAACTGAGATGCAGGTTGAAGTGGATTCTAATGAGCTGGGATATGTGGATTTTGAAAGACAAGACATTGTATTCACAGTGCCCAGATTTCTTGTGCCGGACCCAAGACAAACATTTGCATTTATAGGTGAATACAAGGACATTATAAGAGGCAAGACCACGTGTTTAACAGTTCTGGGATACTGTGCAGTGGAGGAGCAAACGCTACCTGAAAATTGGGGTAAAGGATCTCTATTAACATCATCATTAATTGTTTTGTAGTGATGTGACTGATGAAATACTAATAGGTTCTTATTTGTTATTAAACCCAATAAAGATCCTCCTGACAGTGTGATCTACCCTGCAGAAGAAGTTCAGCTGAAAGTTGAAAACAGCCTCATTTGCTTTGTGAATCATTTCTACCCACCTTCCATCAGAGTCAGCTGGACTAAAAATGGTCTTCCAGTGTCGGAGAAGGCATCACTCAGTCGATATTATCCAGATAAAGATCACACCTTCTACCAGTTCTCAACCCTGACATTCACACCGAGCGAGGGGGACATTTACAGCTGCACAGTGGAGCACCCGGCCCTGGAGAGCCCCGTGACAAGGATCTGGGGTTATTGCTTTATCTTATGAAGCCTTTTAAACATTCAAATAACACAATAATTTGTTGTAAAAATACTTTGTTGTGTTTGATGCATATTTTCTCACATTCCTCCACAGAACCTGACATTAATCATCCAAGTCTTGGACCAGATATTTTCTGTGGAGTCGGCCTGGCTCTGGGTGTGTTGGGGATCGCAGTTGGAACATTTTTAATAGTTAAGGGGCACCATGTAAATTAAGTTCTCAGATTACACACATGAAATTGATGTTGATGGTACACATGAATTTTACAAAACCCTACACTGTTTGAGTGTAGTGCAAATGTGCACTATTTATCATCTTATAATCAAAACAGTTCATAAGCTATGTCAAAATGTAATTTATATGTGGATATACACAGTACATATTCCAGATTTAAATAACTTTAAATCAAGAAGAGAAAAGGAAAAGGTAACACTTTTTATAAGTCGCCCTATTTAGCCTTTAGTAGCACTATACAAACATTTAATATGTGGTTTATATAATCTAGTTTTAAGCAGCTATAATGGCATTTTAAGTGTTTATTTATGTATAGTACTTTTCAATTATAACTCTTCTGAAGACATATTTATTATTATAACTATTTTACTATGTTTTCCAGCTTGTAGGCAACACTAACTCCTTTATTGTTGTTTCTGTTTGGCTCCTAGGTTATTATAAGGTTGTATATTCAAACATTACCATGTAATATACTGTCTCTCTGGATTACTATGTTAATGTTGATTTCTGTTAAAAATAATTTGGTTTAAATTCTGTATCTTTTAATATTTTATTTTTGATATTAACCGTACTGACATGGAGACTTGTAGACAAATTCTTTGTTTGCAATAAAATAAAGCTGATTCAGATTTTTAATGTTCTAAATGTATAATTCTGAAGTTCTTATACTTTACTAAACTAAACTACTTATATTTTCTGCTACTTTATACTTCTAATCACCTATACTCAGAAAGATGTATTGAAGTTATAATTCTACCACCTTTATCTCACAAATAGTTACTTTACAGATTAAAATTCACATAGATGCAAGAGTTTATTAAATATGATGCATTGGTACAGATTAAATTCCCCATGAATTAATTACGTAGTTAAATTCATTGTCCCCTCCACCAGCTACACTATCATATGGCTCTTACAGGAGCAATTCTCCAGCATAATAACTACATTTTATTTATGATACTTAATATTTATCTGATACTTATCTTCTTCTACTCAGTTACTACTCTAAGAATGTATTTTTATTGTATGAGATAGCTACTTTTGCTTATGTACTGTATAGTAAAATGTCAGTGCCTGTTATGATCGCTCGATAAACTGGTGAGCGAGCGGATAAAAACAACGGACCCAGATGGCTGGCTTCGGTGCAAGCAGTGGTATTTATTTACAGTGAAAAAAAACAGTGCAACTATATATAGATATGTAATGAGGTGGAGTTTTAGGACCGGGTGTCGATCAGCGGCAGTAGAACAAACCGGGGCCCCCCAGGTTTGCCCGGGTGAGCGCAGTAGAAGGAGGTGAGAAGGGCAGGATCTAGAATAAAGGAGCAGGGAATCCAGGCCCGCTCCTCTGGACTATAACCCTCCCAGTCTACCAGATATTGGAATTCCCAGCCCCTTGGGTGGACGTTTAGGATCTGCTTGACAGTGTAAGCGGGGCCACCGTCCACCTCCAGGGCAGGAGGAGGCGGAGCCGGCGGTGGACAGAGGGGACTGGTGGAGACAGGTTTGATCTGGGACACATGGAAGACAGGGTATATATGGAGGGAATCGGGGAGTTGGAGTTTCACAGCAGTGGGATGTATGATTTCTTGGATGGTGAAAGGCCTTAGGAACCGGGGTGAGAGTTTGGGGCATGCGCCTTTGATGGGGACATGAGCAGAGGAGAGCCACACTTGCTGCACAACCTGGTAGGTGGGAGGGCGATCGGCCAGCCGTTTGTTCTGGTCAGCTGTGCGTAGCAAGGCGGCCCTGGTCTCATCCCAGACGGCCTGACAACGGTGGATGTGAGCATGGACAGAGGGGGCAGCAATATCAGTTTCTGCAGAAGACAGAAGGGGAGGGTGGTAACCAAGGGAGGCCTGAAAGGGAGAGATACCGGTGGCGGAGCTAGAGAGGGTGTTATGGGCGTATTTCACCCAGGGCAACAACTAGCTCCGGACCGCGGTCAGAAATGATAGTGATGGGGGTGCCATGAATATGGAAAACATGCTGAACCAGGAGCTGGGCATTGTCGAATGCAGTGGAGAGTTGTGGAAGGGCGAGGAAATCTGCGGCTTTAGAAAACCGGTCGACGATGATGAGAATGACGGTGTTGCCCTGGGAGGGGGGAAGACCGGTGACAAAGTCTAGGGCAATATGAGACCAGGGCCGACTGGGCATGGTCAGCGGCCGAAGAAGACCCGCAGGGGACTGATGGAGTGGTTTGGACTGCGCGCAGGGAGCACAGGCAGCTACGTACTGCCTGGCGTCTTTCTCTAGGGTGGGCCACCAGAAGTAACGTTTCAGGAGGGAGATGGTACGCTGTACCCCCCGATGGCATGCTAGCCTGGAGGCATGGGCCCTGTCAAGGGTCTGGGCCCTAGCAGCCTGGGGGACGTATATTCTATCTGGTGGTCCACCCCCTGGATCGGGTTCCTGTTGCTGCGCCTCCCGTATGGTACCCTCGATCTCCCAGGGAAGGGAGGCTACCACACAGGAGGTGGGCAGAATGGTTTCGGGTGTGTTATTGGCGGCAGGGGGGTTGTACTGTCGGGAGAGGGTGTCTGGTTTCTGGTTACGAGACCCCGGCCGGTAAGAGAGCGTAAACCGGAACCGATCAAAGAACAAGGCCCACCTCGCTTGTCGGTGGTTCAGTCTTTTGGCTGACTGGAAGCAGGCCAAGTTCTTGTGATCGGTCCAGACTAAAAACGGTTGGTCGGCACCTTCTAGGAGGTGCCGCCATTCTTCCAACGCCAGTTTCACTGCTAGGAGTTCTTTATTACCCACATCGTAATTGCGTTTGGCTGGGGTCAACCGTCGAGAATAATAGGCACAGGAGTGTAAAGCGTCCTCTTCCCCGGACCTCTGAGAAAGGACCGCTCCCACTCCCGTGTCTGACGCGTCCACCTCAACCATGAACTGCCGTGACGGGTCAGGTTGGAGGAGTACGAGAGCTGTGGTGAACCGGTCCTTGAAGGTTTGGAAGGCCCGCTCTGCTGTCGTGGACCATGCAAACTTCACCTTGGTAGAAGTGAGTTGTGTGAGGGGGGCTGCAATAGTGCTATAGTTCTTAATAAAGCAGCGGTAGAAGTTTGCCAAGCCCAGGAAGCGTTGCAGGTCCTTCACACAGGTGGGGGTAGGCCAATTGGTGACAGCAGAGATTTTGGATGGGTCGGCGCGGAGTCTTCCCTGTTCAATGATGAACCCCAGGAGTGCCACGGAGGGGGAGTGGAAGACGCACTTCTCCGCTTTAACATAAAGGCGGTTTTCCAGGAGTCGAAGAAGGACCTGATGAACATGCTGGATGTGCTCTGTGAGGGAAGGGGAGTAAATGAGAATGTCATTGAGATACACAAAAACAAAACGACCAAGGAAATCACAGAGGATGTCATTAATCAACCCCTGGAAAACCGCCGGGGCATTGGTGAGGCCAAAAGGTATCACCAGATATTCGAAGTGTCCCAGCGGGGTCTTGAAGGCAGTCTTCCACTCATCACCCTCTCGGATGCGGATGAGGTGGTAGGCACTCCTGAGGTCCAACTTCGTGAAGACTGACGCGCCCTGGAGAGACTCAAAAGCAGAGGAGAGAAGAGGTAATGGATATTTGTTTTTGACAGTTATAGCATTTAAACCACGATAATCAATGCATGGACGGAGGCCACCGTCCTTCTTCCCCACGAAGAAAAATCCTGCACCCAGGGGTGAGGAAGAAGGACGAATCATGCCTGCATGTCGGGCGGTTTCGATATACTCCTCCAGAGCCTGTCATTCGGGTTTTGAGATGTGGAAGAGGTTACTGTTGGGCAAGGTGGCTCCTGGGTACAGGTTGATGGCACAGTCATATGGTCTATGAGGAGGAAGAGAATCCGTGGCAAGGTGTTTGTTGAACACCTGTTGTCGTGATAGTCCGGGGGTATGGAGGAGTAGCAGGTGACGTAGTGACAGGTTGTCCGGCGAGGAGGCAGGTCGATGCACAGTCCGGACTCCACTGGGTGATGGTGCTGGTGGTCCAGTCTACGGTAGGGTTGTGTTGGACGTGGCCAGGTGTTTGTTGAACACCTGTTGCAGGTTGTGATAGTCCGAGGGTATGGAGGTCAGGTCGAGCGGCTCTGGAGGGGTAGCAGGTGACGTAGTGACGGGTTGTCCGGCAAGGAGGCAGGTCGATGCACAGTCCGGACTCCACTGGGTGATGGTGCTGGTGGTCCAGTCTACGATGGGGTTGTGTTGGAGCAGCCAGGAGTGACCCAAAACCAGTGGCGTGTTCGGGATGGAAAAGATATGAAAGCTGATGGTCTCATGGTGGTTGCCGGCGACGATGAGGCGGAGTGGGGAAGTCCAGTGAGTGATATGGGTCAGCAGCCGACCATCGATGGCCCGGGTCTCTATCGCATGGGGCAGAGGTTCGGCGGTCAGACCAAGTTGCTCCACCAGGGCCGGGTCCATGATATTACCCCTGGCTCCGGAGTCCAGGAGAGCCTGGTGGGAGAACACCTGACCCGCAACGTCTAGGAGCACAGGGAGGAGGCAGCTGGTATCCGGCCTGGTGGAGGTAGAGGGACGGCCTGTCAGTGTCCCCACTGTCACTGCCAGGCCCACTCTTTTGGCCGCACTGGGTATGCGGCGATGAGGTGGTCCGGAGCTCCACAGTACAGGCACGACCCAGTGCGGATACGGCGGGCCCATTCCTGGGGGTCTAAACGGGCATGTCCCAATTCCATGGGTTCCTCCGCCCGATGGGTGGTGCAGTGATATGAGTCCCCCATGCGGTGAGGTGCCCGGGCCCCAGCAGGTGGAGTAGTCGTGACGGTGGTCCGGACGGCCGACTGCTGCCCTGCTCTTTCCTTGCGGAAAGAGCCCTGCTGCTTGTCGATGCGTATGGCCAAGTCAACCAGGGAGCAGAGAAAGGGGGACTCGTCACGAGTGTTCAGTTCGGCCTTGATGTTGTCATTGAGGCCGTGCCAGAAGGCTGCACAATTCTGGAGGCTGTAGTCACACCCACCGTAATAACTGGAAGTATTATTGGTGACATATTTGGTATTTGAGATCTGCCCTTGCAGAAACAAATGACTCAGAACTTCCACAATTTTGACCCTGAATGGTCATGCAATATATTCCCACAAACAACATGGGAGAATTTCCACTTCCTTTTAACACTTCCAATGTAAATTTTTCTGTATGTAATTTCTTATATTGGGATCTTTTACATATTTTCCACATTCTGTAAATATATTCAACTACTTTCCCCGCTACAAAACTTTAAGATGCATTAAAATATTTTAAGAAGGATCAATACTTGGATCAAATAACTATCGATATAAAATTGGACAAACCTAAAGTGAAAAAGTGGTGTCACAGATTATTACACCAACATAACTGACTAGTAGAGCAAAATGTGCTTTAATTTGGAAAAAAATGAAACATTTTATGACAGTGGTTTCCATGTTAAACCACGATCTCAAATCCAGCATAAAAGTAAGAGAACAAATCGCCACAACACACAAGAAAGGTACCACCTTTCATCAAACATAATTTGACAGGTGGCCCCGCCCCATTAGCCCCGCCTTTCAGCTCATCAGAATCGTTCTT